TTCCTGCACGAAGCGTACATCCCTTCCTCTCCCCGCCATCCTCACATCACAAATTGCTAAACTCCCCCCGTCACGAACAGTGCCCACACCCGTGACAAAAACAGCTACAGTAGTGAGGAAACTCACCCCGTATAGCCTTACGAAATATACTGACGGCTGTTGTAGCCAAGACCATCCTTCCCGCCGTGAACTCTGATACGTGTGTTCCAGACAACTACGCCAACTCTAGTAAGCCCCCCCCCAAAAAAAAACCACCCACACTCCAATCAGGACTCTGCTAACCCCGAATAGACCAAGCCGAGGACTTTGCTCAATTGATGGGTAACTTCTCTCCCTCCCCCTCGTCCAATCCCTAACTAAAATATTTACGACCCCCCCCCCCCAGTTGTCCACACCCATAAGCTCGTCGCAGGCTCCCTCCCTAAGTCCACCGATTGCATGAAAAACCAAATGAACGTAATGGCCCGCGATTGGCCCGCGTCAACTCTCTGGCCCACCACCTGCGACTTGAGCGTCAAGCCCCCGAACAGTCCTTCAGTCGTTAAGGCCAACCCTGCATCCGTTGCCAACATTGCCAGCATTAACAGTGCCGAATTCGTGCCCACTTTCCCCGAGGGCGTGCACGTGGAAGATTTCGGGTAGGTTCCCGACTTTGCATCTAAACTCGAGTATGAATTCCTTTTAACTTTCTTTCGAATAGTGTCGTTGTTTAAGTGGTCACTTGCCGCATCCGCGGACAAAGCTTAATAATGTATTTGAATGGGTTGTGATAAGTGGTTTGATTCATAGAGAGTTTATCGTTAGATTTCGGTTTAGTAAGAACAGTTAGCTAGATTTTTCATACGTAAATGCTTAGAATAAGTTCCTACCTACCCCTGAGGGGAAAAAAATCTATGTGCTATGAATCCTTTAGACCCAATAAAGTGACTAAGCAAAAGTCTTGGTGATGGGGGCAAATTTGCACCAAAAATCGTCATTTTGGAGGGTTTTTAAACAGGCTTCCACATTAATTCTATGTGGAATACCTACCGAAAACCATCCAAGTGGTTACATACACATGTAAAGATAGTCCTCCAGCTGTTTACGGAGTCTCTGGACACTTTCCCATTGTGTGGCAGCAAGTTTAAGGTGGGAACATTGTTGAAGGAGGGGTTTCTGGGGAAATTATCATAGAAAATTGGTGATAATGGTGACTTTTTAAGCAATGGCAGAACTTTACAAGCTTGCAGGACCTTCAGCCGACAACGGGTACACTTCAAATTAATCATGAGATATCACAGAGATAAAGTGAATTTAAATCAGGAATTTAGGAAAAAGGAGATACGGTTTTAAATGAAATACAGACGAATCGAAAAGTGAGGTTTTTGCCCATTTTTGGTGGGGAAACGGGGCGATCACCAAGACTTTTGCTTAGTCACTTTATCGAGTGATATCTTGTGAATTTCCACTCCTAAACAAACATAATATGGTTCCGGTCGCGATAAGCCTGATTACGCGTATTCTCAGCATTTTTCCTTATTTTCTCGCGATTCCACTGGCAATTCTGTTTCTTGGGAACATCTGCCTAGAAAACCTATGATACAAAACTCATGATACCGCTAAAGGCAAAAACGAGCAAACAATACCGATACCAAGAAAAACTTGGACCATGGGACCGAATTCGGACCAGTATAATGTCCCACCCCCTGAAATAGCGTATGTTGTCTCGGCCCATTCTCGCCTACCATATCATACACCTTGCAGGAGGCCATTACTAGCGTGTCCCCACGCAAAATGCCCTCAACTCCAAGCCCAAAGATCATGGTCGTCCAGTCTGTATTTCCAGAAATTGAAATCGTAGATTAATGCGGCAGGTGTTTAGATACATTTCTATGATGTCATGATCTTAAAATTAAGAAAAGGGTTCTTCTTGGTGGTGGTCTTTCAATTTGGAATCGGATGATCATTTTTTCCGGCCTTGAGCAGGTTTATCGCGACCGGAAATATGTCATTGCTATTGGAACAAAATTAGGCTAGGCCCACTGCCCTAACCCTCTCAAATACATCAATCTACGTGTCCCCACCGCAGCACATCCTCAGAAGCAGTGAACAGCATAATGGTAAACAATGTAATAGCTAGTTGATTCGAAGAAGAAGAAGAAAAATGTAGATATCCAGTTACCCACCCGGGGCAAAAAAGGTTCGCACTTTTGGTTCTTCAAGGACTCACATTCCTCGAGGGATTATGATACTAGTCCCGAGAAGGGTCGAACCTGAACCCCCCCGGGAAGTCCGAGTATGATACCTATATATCGAGTCTGTACGGTTAAGCCACGCTTCCTGGAAATGTGTGTTCCATCTCTCCAGTAAATTTAACACAGCGTTGGAAGGTGAAAGCCGTTTTGAATTCAGAAAATCGCCCGTGCTTCTGCTTGAGCGTACTGTACGAGTAGTACCCATACCATTTGGGACAGCCATAAATTGCTGACCAATGATCTTAGGTAAATTTACTTGGGACAGTCTGCATATTCACTATTCTCTTAAGGCTAGCACTAGATTAGTTTTGGCAAAGAATGGCCCTAATTTCTAAGGTCAAGTTTGTAACCTTACCACACTACAGTAGCTGACAGGTCCCAAACGTTGGAACGGAGCCTGCTGACCCTGACCAAAACAGCGATTTTTTGGGATGGAACAAAGCATACTGACAGCTGACAGTCCCAAATGGTATGGGTATGATACTACAGTATATTTGCGAGCTATGTCAATTAAACCCCAGCCGGCCAGGAGGTGGTGGGCCAGTGCTCTAGGGGTTAGGGAAAATCTGAGAGGAGTCGCAGTGTAGACGGCTGAGCATGGTGCCATACATAGCGAGGCTAATGAACAAAATTACACCAAGGCTGTGTTGCATACGGTATCTGACTGATTCCTGGCTTGGTATTATCCCGGCATGCCTGATACTCTTGGATAAGATAGGAGATGGTTGGTGCACGGCAATCAGTGAACAAAGGGGGATTCGTCCCAAGGATAAAATCTACAAGTGTGAGTGATGGATGAACGCTGAGTCCGATTACCTATCAGAGGATTTTCAAACGGCTCACTCAAATAGGAGGTTCCTTGTGGAAGCTTTGCTATTGTGCAGTGGAGTTTGTGACATGGTACTCGTAGGGTCTTGGAAGTCCTGGTTCGTGAGGTGTCAATATATCTCATTCGGTTTGCCCTTCTCAGCATCGAGATACCGAAATACTACTCTTTGATGGTGTATCTACCTCCGTGTGTTATCTGGCTTGTTCCAATTCGAGCGAGGGAGGTCGGGTTTCAAGACTTGGTGTTTCTCGCTCCACAGCCCATATGGCCTCTTCCTCGACGTCCTCAAGTTTCTCTTGCGGGATCGCCGTGAGTTCGTTCCAGAACTAAATTCCTACTCGATCCAGTAGCGGTCGAGGGCTCCATGGAAACCAGAAGACATCCCCCCGCATGTGAAATAGCCGTCAGAGACAAGGGAAGAGTTCTCCGACCCCCACAGACACCCCCCAAACAGAACAATACAAACAGGGTATAAATGCACATTACCCCCACTCCCGTGTGAGAGATGGTTTGTACACCCTAGGATTGCCTGGGCGGTAATATGATAATAAAGCCATTACACGAAACCAGTTGAGCAATGAAGGACAGTAGAGGCAGCTTTTCGGTCTGAATTCAACTTATTCAAGCGCACACGCTTATATCAAAAGCTCATCTGTGTTTCCCAAGGAATTGACCGCCAATGTAATTCTACCAATCCTGGAATTGGCAAGTCTATTTTGAGTCAAAACCCCTGTCCCGGTAAGTTGAGGTGCCATAAGCTGTGTAACGTACTGTACCGTTATTTCGCAGCCCTCTTAGCAATTGATAGCCCTCTGGAGGAGTACCGGTAGACCTGTCGCCGCTGCACCTTTCTGCCACAATCCGTCGAAACCAGTACCGGTATCCCAAAGTTCCGTAACGAGGGCACATCTCAGTAGACTACAGCACTGAACCCAAAATCCATAAACCTTGCCACCACCTCCTTCCACCGCCACCAGATTCATCTGGACCTACAACTTACTAAACCTCATCGACAATCGATAATTTCCCCCCGCCTGCCCAGGAACACAACCAACAGAGGCGGGATGTATCCGAATTGCTATCCTTCCACCGGTTGGCCTCTCTCGAAGCGACCTGGAAAAGGTATCTTCAGGAGCACGAAATCAAGGGTAGTCGGCCCTATCCCTAAAGGTCTAATTCAGAGTGCATCAAAGCCCGCAAGCTTCCAACATAATATCTACCGTACTCTAGCCTCGATAGGCCCCTCTCAGTTGCAAGATGTTTTATATTTCGGCTGCTTGAGACGCCACAGCGGCGCCCGTGATGACCTCGTGACAGTGCTCGGGTGACCAGCAACAAACAGTGGTTGCTTCATAAGCATGTTGGTATCCTGTGGCACAAATACAAGTACCGGTGTTCCAGACTTTGGAGCTGTCTGAGACATTGCAGGTTCCTTTGCTTTCAATTTGATTCCATTTTAAGAGGTTATCTTAAAGCGTTAGACTACCATGCAAACTGCACAGCGTAACTGCAGCTTGACAGCCCGCGAGCTGGGTTGTGAGTTGTCCATCTCATCCTATCGGGAACAAAACCTTCCTGCGGCCAAGAAAAAGAAAAAACGTGACAAGATCTGCGGCGCGATCAGCAACGCTTCCGAGTAAAACCAGTGATTTTCAATTGTAGATACAAATTCGGGCCATGACTCGGTGTAGTTTGGCCTCTGGAACGAGCTCATTGCTTCTGTACCGGGAAAAAGAATTGACAACGCGGTAGGAACACCTCCCCGGAGAATAATCTTCTTTTTCGTTAGCTTTCCCATTTCAGCTATCAAAGCCAAGAAATGGTCCATCAGTTAATCCGTGGGGGGCACCTTTGTTCATAAGTTTTTTCCGTTACATTTTCTTGCCGATGCCCCTCCCCGCTTCGAGATTTTTTCCTCCCTCCACCCCTCAGTCCCTCCACAAAACCCTCCATCTTCCCCCTTCCCTTCCCCTTGAAAAATTCACTACACATACTCCCTCTCTCTCTCTCTTCAATTGCCTTTGTAACCACTGTAGCAGGATTCACTCGACTTTCACCAAAGAACCATGACTTCTTACGCTCTTTCCCAGGCTCACAAGGAGGTTTGTCACCTTTCTCCAATGTCAACTAACTTCTCACGACTCACTTCCCCGGCGATAGCTCATTGAGGTTCCGCTCCGTGCAAGTGACCCAGAAGTCCAAAACATTATGGTAAGCAAACCCAGCCATCATTAGTTTGTTCACATCGATTCTAACCACTTATCATCTGGGATAGGACCTGGAAATCAAGCGTCAACGTGAATCGATTCTTCTCATTGCCTCTGAGAACGTCACTTCTCGTGCAGTTTATGATGCTCTAGGATCACCCATGTCCAACAAATACTCCGAGGGATACCCGGGAGCCCGTTACTACGGAGGGAATGAGCACATTGACTCCATTGAGTTGCTTTGCCAGAAGCGCGCTCTGCAGGCATTCCACGTCGACTCCGAGAAGTGGGGAGTCAATGTCCAGTGCTTGTCCGGATCGCCTGCCAACTTGCAGGTTTACCAGGCTATCATGAAGCCCCATGACAGACTTATGGGATTGGACTTGCCTCATGGAGGGCATTTGAGCCATGGATACCAAACAGACAAGAAGAAGTACGCTTTGATCACTCTACCCAAGCCCAAGTTGTGATTTCTAATACTTGTTGAATAGGATTTCCGCTGTTTCAACTTACTTCGAAACAATGCCGTACCGTGTCGACACCGAGACCGGTATCATTGACTATGATATGCTTCAGAAGACCGCCCTTCTTTACCGACCCAAGACCTTAGTTGCTGGCACATCAGCTTACTGCCGTAACATTGACTACGGTCGTATGCGGCAGATCGCTGACTCTGTCGGTGCCTACTTGGTTGTTGATATGGCTCATATCTCTGGATTGATCGCCGCCCAGGTCATTCCTAGTCCATTCGAGCATGCCGACATCGTTACCACCACTACTCACAAATCACTTCGTGGGCCCAGGGGTGCAATGATCTTTTTCCGCAAGGGTGTTAGAAAGGTCGAGAAGGGCAAGGAGATAATGTACGATCTCGAAGGGCCAATCAACTTTAGGTGAATTTCAATCGTCCTTGCATCGACGAACCCCCGTACTAACAAGGCCGGTACAGCGTTTTCCCCGGTCATCAGGGTGGGCCTCACAATCACACTATCACCGCCCTCGCTGTTGCCCTCAAACAGACCTTCTCCCCAGAGTACGTTCACTACCAGGAGCAGGTTGTCGCCAACGCTAAGGTTCTTGAGGAGGAGTTCAAGCGCATGGGTTACAACCTCGTATCCGGCGGAACCGATTGCCACATGGTCCTTCTTGACCTCCGCCCCCAGGCTCTCGATGGTGCCCGTCTTGAGGCTATCTTGGAAGCCGTGAATATTGCTTGCAACAAGAATGCCACTCCCGGTGACAAGTCCGCCCTGTCACCCAATGGTATCCGCATCGGTACCCCGGCTATGACCACCAGAGGTTTTGGTGGTGTGGAGTTCAAGAGAGTCGCTGGCTACTTTGATTACTTGATCAAATTGGCCAAGAAAATCCAGAGCGAGTTGCCAAAGGAGGCCAACAGGCAGAAGGACTTCAGGGCCCACGTCTTGAGCGGAAAGGTACCCGAGTTGCAGGCACTCAGGAAAGAGATTTCCGAATGGGCTTCTACTTTCCCTCTACCCATCGGACCGGCCTCTTAAAGGGTTGTTTGTTTCCTCATAGCTGCATTTCCTTTGTTCGGTGTTTTTGTGTTTTTATATCGGTATTCTTTTTTTTTTCCTCCTCATTGGTGTGAACTGGACGAAACAAATGGGTCATAAAAAAAGTGTCTTCAACATCACATGGATTTATAGGATGGGACGGATTCTCTCCACCATTGGATCCGTTAGCTCAACGCTAGGCCATCTCTTTAAATACCAATAAAAATAAATACCAATCATCTCAAAACTAGATACCAGTAAACCGCGCTTGTTGAAAATTTTCGAACTACCGAGGCACCGGGGTGAGTACGGTAAGTGCCATTCCCTAAACCAACTGAAACATTCCAGCACTATTTACAAGGAAGATGTTGAGTAAGTGGAAGCGAATATATGCGGACTTTGTCACTTTCATCATGCCCCTACTGAGCAGCCCAGATTCTGCGTGACTAGTATCCTGAGCAATTCACATCTTGGGAACAAGGTTTTTCCTATCGCGATTACTCAAATAGGCTATGATAGCATTGATTATTTTAAATGGGGCTGGAATGTTTCAGCGTTTTAGGGATTACCCAACAGCCAATGAGAGCCCAAATCAAAGAAATCAATAACCACTACAGTATTTTCTATCTAAACATCCTCTTTTAGGTAAGGCAGCTCTGAAACTAACAACTCTAGTCTCAGAAGGCTTGTCAAAAAACCTGTACGAGTAGCAACGCTCTAGGATCCTTCCTCTCGGCCGGAGTAGTTAAAGCCACAGCACTGAATGCAAGCAGGCAATTCGAGCCACACCCGAGACAAAAAAATTCACAAAAAGGATAAGGCCCTGTTCGGCATATCACTTTTATAGCATAAAAGGCACTTTTACGGCATAAATTCTGGCATATTAAAGTTTTTTTCTAGGGGTGCGTTCGGTACAAGGAATAATCATAGCAATGATATATTTTTACGCCCTGTTTGACTACGATTAAGAGACAGGTTCAGGGTTCTCATGACAAAATGGCCAATAGAGAATCAAAACTAGGACTATGAAATGAAAGGAAAATTTCTGGTATTATACTCGATACTCCAAGTATCCTTTCGCCTCAATCACAGCAGGAATCCTGTGTGGCTTGGGGGATGACTTGGCATAAGCTTCAGTTCAAAAGCCAGAATTATGTTCAATTCCTATATATCCATGTCAATTTTCTTTCTTTAATTATCACCAACAGAATCTTGGACACCTTATTTTCCTTCATTTTTTTCATTTTTACTTCTCCCCCCATGTAGTGTTTAATCACAGCAAAATAAAAATAAAATAAAAAATAACTGCATTTTGGCCCGGACTTAACATACAGGTAGACTGCACTCTTTTACAAGAAATTTTATGCCAAGGCGTCCCATGTCGCAAAATATTTGGTGCACCCTCTTGACGTCCGGAACCATATCATACCAGTTACCGTATTAACTCGAGTTATCCACTTATCCCCGCAAGAACCTCTAATCTCCGTCAATCCTGGCATGAGCCCAAGATTGGTCTAGTTTGAAAGGTTAATATAATTGTGAATATCAGTTAATGAGATTCCAACAGCCAGCAAACACAGTCCTTACAGTGTGAGGAAAACACTAACTTTGAGGATTTTTGTTTCAGAATGCCGAGATTAGGGGACCCGGTGGAGATAGTGGATAACTCGAGTTAAGAGGGAACAAGAATGCTGGTAATCATAACAAGGATTACTGTGCCGTGTACTAGTACGGTACTAGTCTAGTGCCGGTACTTGTGTACGAAGGGTGTAGGGAAAGTCTGGCGAACGTGGCGGTGCATGTGACGGTGCATTCATAGGATCGAGCTCTTAGATACAATACAAACTAGTAATGGGTAGGACCACCATTTGCATCAATAACAGCTTGCAACCGTTCCAGCATGCTTCTAATAAGACTCTCCAAAAAATCAACTGCCACAGAATCTCAAATAATCTGTAGAGCTACCTTTAGTGGCTCTAATTCCTCAATCCTTCCCCATTGTTCTCCTAACTCACATTCAATTCATCCCCAAACCTATTCTATCAGATTAAGATCAGGGGATTGGGGAGGCCAATCCATCATCTTATCAACTCCATTTCTTTCCCGGTACAGAATAGCAAATTTCTGATGGTCGGGAGCCCAATCCTCAATTATCTATGTCCACCCGTAATCTTCGCAGGTCTGATACTAAAAGGGAGTGAGATGTAGATCAAGTACTTGTTGGATATATGTAGAAGAATCAATAGAAACCTTATTTGGAACGAATATCAAATGTGATTTTAATTTACCACAAATTGCCTCCCATACCATAACACCATTTCTTCTAGAGCTCTCCCAATCATCAATACAGTCGGGGTGGTATTCCTCTGCTGCATTTCATATCACCATAGGATGGTGATTAAAGCCAATGGTCAAGAAGTAGGACTCATCAGAGAATATGATCCTAGACTAGTCATCAAATGCCTAGTGAAGATGAGCTTGAGCCCACTGAACCCGTCGTATTTGATTTTGCGGTCGTACTTTAAACTTCCGTTGAGGTTGGCGTTTATGGTAACCCATACTGGCCATAACTCGACGAATAAGGTCTGCAGAATAGGCATAACCCATTTCCTCCTGTATCATATCCCATGTCATATGGCGGGTCCAGCGATCACTAGTCACAAAAGTATGTAACTGATCCTTTTCACTCTTGTCAAAAACTGGGGGTTGACCTGATTGTCTCGCATTTTCTGAGGTTCCAACCATCTTGGTTTTTGGATAGATCTTTTGGCAGGTTCGATAGTCAATATCTACCTTTTATATAATAATTGGTAAGCCACGTTATTGCACAATTATCTCACTAGCTAATAGTTCAGAGGTTAAAGACTTACTGTTCAGGCAATATTCTTCCACCACATACGTGGTTTTGTATGGTCGTGCAATGCAACAATACGAACCCGCTCATCTTGGGTTGTTTTCCTGCCTCTTATTTCTGAATGATAGTAATCTGCTCGAGTACCAGAGGTTTTCATTTTGGAGTGGTAATATGCTTCAGTATCGTTGACCAATTCCGAGTCTCTGAATAGTGGATTCTCATGATGGCCGAATTACTACGTCAACAACTCCCCTTCCAAGACAGTGCCACTGCCACATGCACCGCCACGTTCGCCAGACTTTCCCCTATACCCTTTGTACATATCATACGAGTACTAGTACTCGTGCTACCGTAAGAACTTGAATAATATTCATAATTGAACCTCGTGCCAAGACGTCCAGAATTCCCTCTCTTGGATAAGAGATGTGAAAGCACCGCAAAAAAACTAACCCCCTCAGCCCTAGCTTAAGACAAAAAAAGTAAAAAAAAGCATTGCACCTTACCAATAAAGGCAATCCCAACGTCCTAGCGTGAGGTTCAATTATTCAAGTTCTTACACTACTTACTCGTACAGTCACCCCTGGCTATCCCTTTGTGGGCTGAGAAACTGGCGAAATCTCTCTCATGCATTAGCGCCCAAGCTAGGAGCTTGGCATCTGAGTGATATCAAATGAATCTATGCTCAAATCTACTCTACAATTCTCATATCTACATACCGGATGTCTTTTTTGTTTTCAAAATAAAAAAAATAACTACCGCTATGGAACAGTGGCTAAACTATGCTAGCGAGCAAAACACGGCCAATTGCTTCCACAAAGCGCACTTGGGAGGGAGCATGACCGAAACTCAAACCGAGTAAGCTTAGGCCGGGAGTGGCCTTCCTTCTTACCAGTGCGAAAGTCATACCTGCAGATACAACACTCTCGGTGCTTTTCCATTTTTTTCAAGATGGTGAGAGGAGGTGACTTCTACTGCAGGCTTTTGTAAGGTTTGGTGTTTTGGAAAATATGTAGGTGAGGTTGTAGAGCGGTAACGTGTACTTCGTCAATATTGGATTTGTCTGACTCTTTTGCTCCTTCCCTTAGTACTCTGAGTCTGAATACCTAGCTGTTTAAATAGCATTCACCAAAACTCCACTTCCAGTATAGGATGCGCCAATGGATGAGAAAGGATATCATGCTCAACCAAATCGCCTAAATCCAGTATCCGGTTAAGCTCACTTGTTCGGGGAAGATTGAGCAAAATGTGAGCATTCATGGTTGATAAATCCAAAAAAAAATAGAAAAATGCAAGCCAGTTCCGATAGGCACACTGGTGGCTAATATAGTCTGTATTCTTTTATTTAACAAAAGTCATAGTAGTATTATAAATTCTGTGTAGCATACTTGCACGCCTTTGATCAGCTATATTGATACTACCTATATAGTAGTTATAGTCATCAATTGCAGTAGGAATAAATAATGAGGCTTGGTTGCAATCACCAAATGCCTTCCATACAATAGGAGTATTGGTACTTGTATTGTGGGGCCTCCAATAAAGACTAGGTGTAATCTCATTCCAGAGATGGACAGTAGTAAGCGTTCTAACTACATTATTGTCCATCAACTGGAAATATAA